TTGGCAGATGACGTAATCACTGCCAAATAACTCGAGTTATTTGGCAAGCACTATCATAGTAAGCTGCCGGATAATAATACGTACTAACATATTCAAAATAACTGTTACGTGTCAAGTTGGTTTTTAGATTGAATTAAACTTGACCGGGTCAAGTTTAATTCAACCTAAAACCAATTTGACTCGCTACGTAAAATATCTATTTAATTATCAATGATTTTAGGCATAAGTATTATCTAATACTGTATGTTCGTTAATACAAAATGAGAAATAATAAACCAAATTTTTCATACAACACCAGTGCATAAAATTGTGCCATGACGTGTTCCGATATTTATTCAACAGAATTTAGGATCTATAGCCAGAGGTAGTAACGATAGTAACAATCAGTCATGATGTAAGAAAGTGGAAATTTTGAAATTTCCGAATATTTTATTAGATTTTGTGATCTGATTTGACAAAGATCATCTGACATGATAGCCAATAAAAAAAGAATTTTGATTACGTATACTCCATTACTGCATTAACGTTAACTAATATATTAACTAATCAGGGGATATAATTACATCATTTCAATCAATCAGTTGCAAATGTTTATTAGCCAATGATAATCAAGACTGATTCTTTTTAAATCAAATTTATCTGTTTTCGTTTTTTTGTACTTTGGGTAATTGCGCCGAAATTCATTTTCGAGACTAACCTAAATTTTCCCTCCAAAAAAATAAGATTCATCATTTTTTTTTTTTAAACAAAAAAAAAAATCGATGGCCATTGTTGAACTTGCTGCTCTTTTAACTGTTCTTCCAGCCGGTTTAGTGGCTGTTTATTTATGGCTTCTTCAATCTCGTAAAGGTGGTTTACCTATAACTACTGCTGACTGTGCTTATGACAAAAGTAAATATGGTGATATCCTTAATTGGGATAAATTCTGTCTTTATATTCATGGTAAACCAACCTTAATTATAAGTGGTGAATTTCATTATTGGCGTCTTCCTGATAAATCTCGTTGGGAGAGTATCTTAAAAAAGTATCGTGCTGGAGGGTTTAATTGTGTTCGTATTTATTTTCATTGGGGTTATCATAGTCCTGATAATGGAATTTATAAGTTTGATGATAATAGAGACGTTAATTATTTATTAAATTTATGTGAAAGTTTAAATCTTTATGTTCTTGCTGCTCCGGGTCCTTATATTTGTGCTGAAACTCAAGCTGGTGGTTTTCCTTTTTGGGTTGTAGAAAAAGTAAAGAGATTACGTAATTTATTATTTACTGGGTTTAAGAAATATGATCCTGAATTTTCCGATTATCAAAAACAATGGTTTGATAACATTCTTCCTATTATCGCTAAACATCAAATAACTGAAAAATCTGGTGGTTGTGTTATCGCTGTTCAAATTGAAAACGAATTAATTGAAAAGATTATAAATCTTCCATTTGGATTACACGATGAAATGAGGTTTTTGTGTAAGGTGGCCAGAGATTGTGGAATTAATGTACCACTATTTACAAATGATCCAATGGAATTAGGTTCTTTTATTAGTAAACCTTCTTCTAATTTCTTTAATCGTGGAAGTTTTGGTTTGGATCTTTACGGATTTGACAAATACTTTGGTACGTATTTTCATTACATATTATTATTTCATTAGATATTATTAATTATATTAATTATATTAGTTTACTACCATCTTGTATCATTCTTATAACGTCTTTATTAGTATTTGTCCCTGCTAGTAATCCAACTCCGTGGGCACTTAGAATAGAACAAGATCCAAAAAAATGGAAACCTTGGAACCCAAAAGATGTATCAAGCTCTTTAGATGGAATTGAGAAAAAAACACGTAGTTTTGGTTATGAAGCTGCAAACGTATTATCATTATTATTATTATTCATATTATTTACATTATGATAATTTCATAATATATCGTATTATTTCATTTTTAAACTCAAAACTCAAATATTTCATAATTTATAGACTCCAATATTAATTCCGGAACTCCAAGGTGGTTGGTTCACTACCTATAAATTACAACATACTTTCGATGATGTCTATAATTATTATGGTGATGCTTTTACACGCACTGCCTATGAATCCGTACTAGCTCAGGGTTGTACTATGTCTTCAATCTATATGACATACGGTGGAACAAATTGGGGAACTTTAGGCGATATGTAAATTTCTTTTTATTTATATCAATATTAATAATATAATTAGATATAATTTCTAATTTAATTTTTATCTTAATTTTTATCTTAATTTAATTTAACCTTTTTTAATTTATTTAATTTATTTAATTTAATAGTGATGGTTATACTTCTTACGATTATTCTGCATGTATTCGTGAATACGGTTACATGTCTTCTCGTATCCGTGAATTACGTTTAGGAATTCATTTTATAAGAAGTTTTTCTGATTTATTCACTAGAACTGAACGTGTTAAAAATCCAAATATCTCCACTTCTATAAATAATGTTTTCAATCTTCAAAGAAAATCTTTGATGAAAAACGTAAAACCTGGTGATGAAGTTTTATTTTCTTTTTTTCGTAATTTTAATGATCATCAAACTCCTATGTTTCAAGTTTTTGTTGCTTATAAGGAAGGTCAAAGACGTGAACAAAAATTTTCTATGAGATGTCTTTTACCTTATAAAACTTCTTTTATAGCTTTAGGTAATTATACTACTATTACCGGTCTTAATTTGATTTTTTCTACTTTACCTATTCATTTAAGAATTATTCAAAATCTTATAAATGAGATTTGGATCATTCCTGTAAATGTTGGTGAATTGGCTTTTCAAGGTGATATTACTGTCGATGGAAATCTTGCTTATACTATAAGAAAAGTTGGTCATGCTATTCATATCGTTTCTTTCGATGATGTTGGTGGCTTCGCAAGAATTAAAAGTCCTGATTCTAATGGTGATTTATATATTTTAAGATTACATAAAGAATCTTTAAGTACTCTTCACACTACTTTTGAAGATTCTTATTGGGCAAAATCTAATGATTTTACTACCATTCCTCATTCTCCTTTAATTGTCTCTTGGGGTACTCAAAATGTTTATTTTGATCCCTCAAATTCCTTATTGGAAACTCAATATGGTGATCAAGAACATGAAATCACTATTTTATCTTCAAAAGAACCTGCTGATCATGTTCGTTTTCAATCTCATCCTACTTATCCTTTACCTTTTGTTTATAAAAAACAATTCACCGCTGGGGAAAAAACTTCGGAAGTACACTTGGTTCCTAAATTAGTAAGATGGAGTTATCGTACTACAAATTTTAATGATTTAGACTGGCGTTCAATTGATCTTAAAAATGGTGGTCCTATTGAAAATTTTCATGCTTCGGGTCACATTTTATATAGTACTAAATTTCCAAGTAATTATTCTTCTAGTAAAGTACAATTATCCGTTAATATGAGACATAGATGTACTATATTTGTTAATGATCATTTCGTTGGTGGTCATACAACTTTTTCAAGGCAACTTTTCTTCCCTGGTTCAAAGAATGGTCCTGAATTATTTAAACATTTCGGTGATGAAAAATATGATATAACTCAATTTCTTCATCCAAATGGTGATGAAGAAAAAAATTCTTTAGTAATCTTGGTGGAAAGTTGGGGTTTAAGTCGACAATCTGTGATATTTAACGATGTAAAAAATCCCAGAGGATTACTTTCTGCAAATATTAATGGTTTAGTTAAAGAAACTAAATTATCTTGGAATATTTCTGGTGTTGATTTACGTAAATTAGATAATCCTTATAATACTACTGGAATACCTAATGAACGTAAACATTTTGATTGGAAAGAAAGTGAAAAAGGTATTTGTGGTCATGGTGTTGTACCTAACGATGGAATAAGATGGTGGTGTTTTAGATTTTCTCATCCTATAGAAAGTAAATTTAAAGATATATTAAATGCTCCATTAAGATTAGTCCTTTATGGTGCTTTTACTTCTTATATATTTTTAAATGATACATTAATTGGAAGGTATTATGGTAATGGTGATTGTGCTCAACATGATTATTATTTAATGGATGGTTTATTAAAATTTGGAGATGATGAAAATGAAATTATCATGATGGTATATTCTTGGGAAACGGTTAATCCTGAAGAAATTGTTGTTGAAATTAGAGGTTGGGAAATTGATGATGTTAAAAAATCGGGAAATTTAATTAAACCTAAAAAGGGTACTGACGAAGATATTGAATTGGAAGTTAAACCTTGGATTGTTAGAAAAGAATTTATTCCTTTAACATAGTAGATTTGATAGATACATTTATTCATATTTTATTTATTTATTGATTTATATATTTAATAGATTTATCGCTATTTCATAGCTAAATTATACATATTTTAAAAACAATAAATTTAACGTTTAAAATGTCACTTTATTACCCATGATCAGGTTCTATCCAAAGTTTTGCAATATTGACTTCGGATATACTTCGGATAATGATTATTACATGCTAAAGTTTTATAAAAATTTCTGGTCAAAAATTCGAATGATCGTATGCGTACGAATATCAAATGTAAATGCTATTAATAGTAGGCCATATTCATTTTTGTAAAATTTTTAGGATAAAGGTTTCCACAGCGCAACCACCAAAAAAAAACTGGTCATAAATTTGCTGAATATGCTAATATTACTAAATATGCGCAATAATTTAAAAAAACATTCACTACTGTAAACAAAATTAAAAAAAAACCAATATAATTAAAATCATAGCATGCCCAATATAACGATTTATTTTAATATGATTGCAAATTGAAAAAATCAATTAATTAATAAAAATCATAGCAAATATTAAATATTAGTCAAAATTCGGCCATTCAACAGGTTTGTTTACTAAAACAAGCACAAGAGTTAATAGGTGTATTAAAAAATAATATTTTAATCCCAATATTTTTAATTGGGTAACATTCTTACCTATATTAGCATTTATTGGTTTAGGGAGACTTCGATAATAAAAAATCCGACTTGTATAACTAGCCTGTTTATGCGTCTGGTAGTTGAGTCGTATTGCTGTGAATTGATTTGAATTTTGGTCTGAGTTTTTAATTTCTTCAACTTGCTTATATAATTTGGTTTTTTCATTTTTCAAATCTTCAAAAAGTTGCTTCAGCGCATTAGCTAATTCATTAGCAGTTGGTCGGTTTTGAGGTTCGGCATCCCAGCATTTATTCATTAAATCCAAAAGTAATTGGGGAACCTCACATCTAATTTCAGGTCTATGACCTATGCAAATTTTTCTTACTAAAGTTTCACCATGCGGAATATCATGAAATGGAGGATATCCTGTAAAAACTTCTGACATGATAATTCCAAAAGAATAAATATCTGATTTTTGAGTGTACGCTTTTCCTCTCGTATATAATGTTTCTGGTGCAATGTAAGGAATTACACCAAAAATCCCTTCATTGCTTGAATCTTGAGACACTGGCCTACATAATCCAAAATCAGTTATGTAAGGATTATGCAAATTCTCGATAACTACATTTCCGGAATGAAAATCTTTATGCACTAAATTGGCTTCGTGAATTGTATTAAGTCCATCAGCTATGCAATATAAGATAGTGACTTTGGATTTCCAATTTAAATCGTTATATTTGTTATCTAAGAAATTTCGAAGACTTCCCTGCTTTGCGCATTGCATAACCATCATATAATTATCATCATTTGGGTTCTTAGTTATCCCATAAATTTCAATTGCTGAATTACCCCCATGTTTATGTTGATTTTTAATCTAAATTATTAATTAGAATAAATAAACTTTAATCATAACGATAATAATAATAATGAGTTATGCATACATACTTCATTTAGATTATCAAGGCCCTTTAAACAAATATCTATTTGTGCTTTTCGTTTCCATACATTCTCTTTGTCATCAAATCCGTCAATATATCCGTCAGTCCATACTGCCTTAAAAACAGTGCCAAAGCCTCCTTTAGCAAAATACTTCATATTTGTAAATTTACTAAAAGGTATCCATTCGATAATATCTTTAAATTTCTTTGCACCAAGTTGAATTTGTCTAATAAATTCATCAATGTCAAGATTGTCACTTGTCCAATTATGAAATTCCTTTTGAAATCTTAACATTGGATAATAAGTATATAATAATGCATTAAGGACTATGATTTAACAACTAATACATACTGTCTAACATGGGGTTAATTGAAGAAAAATTATTAGAATCATCATTAGTACAATATATATTGACTTGTACCCTGGTTTACTGTAACAGTAAAAAAAAATCTGTTAAGAACTTACCGACTTTAAAGATGACGCACCGTATGTGAATTATCGTTAGTGCATTGACTTGTACCATGATTTATTGTAATGCAAAAAAATTCTGTTAAGAACTTACAGACTATAGAGAGACACAATAAGTGGATTAGTTAGAATTTCGTTAGTGTATTGATTTGTACCGTGATTTACTAAAAAAATTCAGTTAAGAACTAACTCGCTGTAGTATATGGATTAGTTAGAATTATCGTTAATATCTTTATTTGTACCAAATTTTGTTAAAAACTTACTCGCTGTAGTAACAACACAGTATGTGGATTAGTTATAATTATCATTAGTGCATTGATTTATATGAAAAAAATTCTGTTAACTTACGAGCTGTAGTAACACAGCATGTGGATTAGAATTATCGTTAGCGTATTGATTTGTACGTAACTATAAAAACATTCTGCTAACTTACTTGCTACGTATAGTAACAGAGTATGTGGCTTAGTTAGAATTATAGTTAAGGGTATTTATTTGAGTGCTGCACGATGAAAACCTGTGAGTAACTGTAAAGGTCTTGCATAAATTTCTGCGGAACTGGCTAAACATATATGAAGCCTGATTTCTACGCATTTACAAATTATTGATAATTTTGTTTGTAAGCATTTGCCACGGGCCAAAATGGCCGAAATATTTTGGCCACAAGTATAACTCGTACAGAAACGATCAAAACACTGATAATATATGTGATTTAATACACAATATTACAATTCTCCCAGGGTTAAATATTTACTTATAGGTTTTCTCTTTGCAGCACTCATTTGTACTTGATTTATTGTAGCTGTAAAAATATTTCTATTAAGAACTTACTAGCTGTAGTGATACACAGTATGTGGATTAGTTAAAATTATCGTTATTGATTTGTACAGTAATTGTGAAAAAAGTCTGTTAATGGCTTACGAGCTGTAGTGACACACATTATATGGATTAGTTAGAATTATCGTTAATGTATTAGTTTGTAGTGTGATTTATTTGAATTTTAAAAAAATAATTCTGCTAAAAACTTACAAGCTAGAGAGGAGAAAGAAGACACACAGTATGTCGATTAGTTAGAATTATCGTTAGCATATTGATTTGTACCGTACTGTAAAAAAAGATTCTGAAGAACTTACCGACTATAGAGAAGACACACGGTATGTGGGTTAGTTATAATTATCGTTAATGTATTGATTTGTGCCATGATTTATTGTAGCTGTAAAAAATTCAGTTAGGAACTTACTCGCTGTAGTGACATAAAGTATGTGGATTAGTTAGAATTTATCATTAATGTATTACTGCACTTTTCAAATTGCTGTGTCCACTGATTTTCATACATCACACTGGTCTAGAAAAAATGCCAATACGTGATTGGCTAAAAATTAGTTTCAACCAATCACAGATTTGCATTTATTCTAGATTTCTGATTTCCGGTGTGGTGTATGAGAATCAGTGGACACAGTAATTTGAAAAGCGCAGTAATTTGTACCGTGGTTTACTGCAATTTTAAAAAAATTCTGTTTAAAACTTACAGACTATGGAGGTGACACATAATATGTGGATTAGTTAGAATTATCGTTAGTGTATTGATTTGCACTGATTTACTGTAACTGTAAAAAACTTCTGTTGAGAACTTACAAACTATAGGGATGGTGAAATTTCGTAAAGTGCAGCGAGTGGGGTGGCACACAGTCACACAGTATTTTGGATTAGTTAGAATTATCGTTAGTGTATTGATTGTACCGTTAAGAATTTACCTACTATAAAGATGACATACAGTATGTGGATTATTTAGAATTATGGTTGGTGTATTGCAATTTACTTTAAACAAAAAAAATTTTATTAAGAACTTACTAGCTGTAGTGACAGTATGTGGGTTAGTTAGAATTCATTATTGATTTGTATCGCACTGTAAAAAAATTCTGTTAAGAAACTTACAAACTATAGAGACGACACACAATACGTGGATTAGTTAGAATTGTCGTAAGTATACTATGATTTATTGCAACCGTAAAAAAAAAATTCTGTTAAGAACTTACTAGCTGTAGTGACACACAGGACGTGAATCAGAATTATCGTTAATGTATTGGATTATCTGTAACTATAAAAAATTCTTTTAGTAACTTACTTGCTGTAGTAACACAGTATGGATTAGTCAGAATTAGGGATGGGTTCGGTCGGTCACGGTCGGTCACGGTCGGTCACGGTCGGTCATTACCGGTTATTGGCGGTCAACCGGTTGACCGCGGTCGGTCATATACGGTTAAATGACCGGTCATAACCGATTGATTATTTAATCGATTAGTTGGATTTTTGCTCTGTTAACCCTTCTTCTATTTATAATAAATGTTGTAGATGAAGAAAATTTGGTCATTA